TGGTCAACATGATACAAAAAAATTAAACAGAATCACTATATGAAAATACTGGTCTGGTTATCCACAATGGAAGCACTAATATACCCTAACATGTTAGATCTGGATAAAATAGTAAGATATAAAGATATATTAAATGAACAAGGGAAATTAAAAACAAAACAGGAACTTAAAAATCAGGGAATTGACATGGACTGGTGGCTTTACATGCAAATACAGACGAGATATAAGAAGGATACAGATAAATATGGCTTCTATAGTGAACCACGAGAATTGGATAAGATATTGCAGGGGATGGATGAAAAACTGATAAAGAAGCTCTACTACTACCTATTGAGTTCCAAAATGGAAGAATCAGTAAAGGAAACTATGATAACATGGGCAAAAAACTTTGGGTATACTATAGAACTAGATAATTGGCAAAAACTGTGGGAAAGAAATTATAGATTAACAATGTCATATAAAGAAAATAGGTATAAAATATTCTATAGATGGCATCTACCACCAGCAAGACTGGCAAAAATGTTTCCAAACATGTCACCAGAGTATTGGAAATGCAAACAGGCACAGGGATCTTATTATCACATGTGGTGGACCTGTCCATTGGCAAAAAAATATTGGGCAAAGATTAAAAAGTGGTTAGAGGAGATGGTAACACAACAAATAGACCTAAAACCAGAACTGTTTTTATTAGGCATACTAACGGGGAAATACTGTACAATAAAAGAACCCAATATTTAATGTTACAATAACAGCAGCTAGAATTACATATGCACAAAATTGGAAAAATGGAAGTATACCCACAGAGGAAATGGTAATAAAGAAAATATTAGAATGTGCCAAAATGGACAGGTTAACAATGGAAATTAAAGACAAAGGAGAAACAGAAATATGTTATAACCATGGATACAACAGATATAAGTATGTTGTATAATATCAAGTTTTTTTTCCCCTATGGACTATATGAAAAAGAGAAAAATGGTTGTAACTAGGATGTATAACATCATGTATATTTTAAAAGCATATTTTGCAACCAGCATATCGTTGTTGCAAGATTGAAATTGCGATGTAAAATGAAGGAAAGTGCACAATAATAATTATTTTTTTAAAGATGTTGAGACCCTCAAAAGTGTGCAGAGAAGAGCAACAACAATGATAAAGGGTCTGGAGGCTAAATCATATGACAAATGATTGAGGGAACTGAGTATATCTGGTCTATCCAAGAGATAACTAGGGGGACTTGATAATTACTTGAGGGGTGTCACAAAGAAGAGAGGATTGATTTATTTGTTAAGGCACCTGAGGGCAGAACAAGAAGCAATGGGTACAGACTTGATAAAGAGAAATCCAACCTAGAAGTAAGGAGAAATTTTCTGACAGCGAGAATAATTAATCAATGGAATAGCTTGTCACCTGGGGTTGGAGGTGATCCGTTACTGGAGGTTTCAAAAATAGACTGGAAAACCATTTGACTGGGATGATATAAGGCTCCTACCTTGAGCAGGGATTGGGCTAGAAGACCTCCGCTGTCCCTTCCAGCCCTATGATTCTATGAATGCTAGAACACTCATTATGATTTACAACTGGTCCTCATACTTACTATCATCACAGCATCCCCACAGCATCAAAATTTGGGCACCTGGCAATCAAAATGCATGTATGACAATTGTAGGGTCAGGTCATCACCATTTATGACCTTCCCAGTTGGCTTCTGAGAAGCAAAGTCAGTGGAGGGAGCCAGGTTTTCTTAATGACTAAGTTTAACAACTGCAGTGATTCGCTTAACCATCATAGCAAAAAAGATCACTTAATACTTAATTATGGAAACTTGGGGGGATGAAACCCACAGATGAAACATACAGCTAGAGGGATTTAAATTATTTAAAAGAAATAGGCCAAATAAAAGAGGAAGTGGAGTTGCACTATATATAATAACTACATCTCTACAGAAATAGAACATAACAATGATGAAAATTATCTTGAATGCATTTGGGTCAATATTAAAGGGGGGGAAATGACATTGCCATAGGTCTATACTATAAGCCACCCAACATACAGAGGAAATAGCTGAACTTTTTGCTAGTCAGTTAACTAAGGTATGTAGGAAGCACATCACAATAGTAATGGGGGATTTCAACTACCCTGACATCAACTGGGAGACAAACTTGCACCAAGTGGAAGATCCAACAGGTTGCTAACAAACCTAGCAGACAACTTTGTTTCCCCCAAAATAGAGAAGGGAACAAAGGGATCAGCCATATTGGACTTAATTCTCACTAGCAGAGATGAAATGATAGAAGGTGTTGAAGCTACAAGAACCTTGGGGGCAAGTGATCGTACAATATTGGAATTCAACATTATACAAACACAAGTAGTAGAACAAAGTCAAACTAGAGCCTTTGACTTTAAAAGAACTAATTTCAATAAACTTAGAGAGAGCTTGGGAAGGATTCCATTGATGAGAATCCTCAAGCGGAAAACAACTCAAAAAGCTTGGGAAATTTTGAAAACTGAGATTATAAAAGTCCAGTCTAGCACAATACCAACAAAGAAGAAAAATAACAGCTCTCAAAAGAAACAAGCATGGCTGCATAAAGAACTCTCTGACAAATTCAAAGACAAAAAGGACAAATATAAAAAGTGGAAAGAGGGACAAACAACTAAGGCAGAACATCAACAAATAGCCTGAGCCTGTAAAAATGAAGTGAGGAAAGCTAAGGCTCATAATGAACAAAAGCTTGTGACAAAAGTAAAAAATAACAAAAAAAAGCTTCTTCCAACATGTTAAAAACAAGAAAAAAGTCAAGGAAACAATTGGTCCATTGCTGAGAGAAAGTGGTAGAAAGGTGACAAGCAACAGGGAGAAAGCAGAACCACTTAACTTATTTTTTGCATCTGTCTTTACATAAAGGGAAAAAACAGTCCAACCTATCAAAAACAGCACCACAAAAAACAGATTAAGAACACAAGTTAAAATAGGAAAGAAAATGATAATTGAATACTGTCTACCCTAGACGAGTTCAAATCACCAATACCAGATGGATTACACCCCAAGGTTCTGAAGGAACTGGCAGACGAGATCTCAGAACCACTGAACTATATCTTTCAAAGATCATGGAGCACCAGAAAACTACCAGAGGACTGGAAAAGAGCTGATGTAATTCTCATCTTCAAAAAAAGAAAAAATAAGATCCAGGATACTACAGATCTATCAGCTTGATCTCAATACCTGGGAAGATTTTGGAAAAGATAATCAAGCAACAAATCAGTGAACACCTTAGAAGCAAACAAAATCATAACAAAAGCCAACATAGGTTTGTCAAAAACTGATCATGCCAGACAAATCTTATTGCATTCTTTGACAAAGTGACAAAATTAATGGACCAGAGGAATGCTTTGAATATGATTTACTTGGACTTCAGTAAGGCATTTGATAAAGTAGACCATAACCTACTACTAGATAAAGTAGAAAAATGTGGGTTAGACAGTATCACCACCAGATGGATTTGTAACTGGCTGACCAACTACACTCAATGTGTAGTCCTCAATGGAACTGCATCAACATGGAGGGAAGTATGCAGTGGAGTACCCCAAGGCTCTGTTTTAGGCCCAGTATTCTTCAACATCTACATCAATGACTTGGACAAGGGGATAGATGGGGAACTCATCAAATTTGCAGACGACACCAAGCTGGCAGGAATAGCCAACATTCCAGAAGATAGGCTTAAGATACAGAAGGATCTTGACAGACTTGAACATTGGGCGCTAGCTAACAAAATGAAATTCAGTGGTGAAAAAGTAAGGTTCTACATTTAGGCAAGAAAAATCTAATGCACAGGTACAGTATATGTGGTACCTTGCTCAATAGTACTAACTGTGAGAGGGAACTCAGAGTCCTAGTGGATAACCATTTAAATATGAGCCAGCAGCATGCAGCAGCTGCCAAAAAAGCCAACACAGTTCTAGGCTGCATAAACAAGGGGATAGAATCAAGATCACTTGAAGTGTTAATATCACTTTATTTTGGAATACTGCATTCAGTTTTGGTCGCCATGATATAAAAAAGATGTTGAGACTCTAGAAAGAGTGCAGAGAAGAGCAACCAAGATGATTAGGGGACTGGAGGCTAAAACATATGAAGAACAGTTGCAGGAACTGGGCTTGGCTCGTCTAATGAAAAGAAGGACTAGGGGAGACCTGATAGCAGGGTTCCAGTATCTCAGGGACTTCCACAAAGAAGAGGGAGCCAAGCTATTCTCCAAAGCACCTGAGGGCAGGACAAGAAGCAATGGGTGGAAACTAATCAAGGAGAGAAGCAACTTAGAACTAAGGAGACATTTCATGTCAGAACAATTAATCAGTGGAACAACTTGCCTCCAGAAGTTGTGGATGCTCCAACACTGGAAGTTTTTAAAAAGATGTTGGATAGCGGTGTAGGGTTTCCTGCCAGGGCAGGGGTAGAAGACCTCCAAGGTCCCTTCCAACTCTGTTATTCTATTTCTATTTCTAATACCTACTTTCCTAAGCAGCAGAAATTCTGGTCCCAACTGTAAGTCAAACATATGAATATATATTTTGCCAACAAAAGACAGAAAATTGTATATGTATCTGTGTGTATATGAAAGGGAAAACAAGAGTATGGAGATAAATGCTTAAAGGGTGTGCATATTTCTGGGCATGTATTTTCAGGTTTATGTATTCACAATAGCAAGATCTTCTCCCTTCAGGCTAGAGCTGTCCTACCTGGTTGTTTGTGGCTCCAGTACAATTGCCTGGAACTCATTCAGGCTTTGGCTGAAATAGATTAATCAAGCACTATAATAAAATATATACAAAACCTGAATTTGTAAGGAGAAACAGTTGAAATATATTTTCCGTTCTTGATTAATAACCACTGTAATTTAACTGTAAAGAATTTACATCTTACTTTCAGAATGGCAGCAGGTGGTGCATTTTCAAGAGAGAGTTCCCATGTCAAAAGAAAATTAGAGAACAAATCTTACTTGCACTGAATCTTTGTGTGTTTTGCTGATCTTGCTGTTGCTGTTGTTGTCGCCTTGCTAATTTTTTCATCTGTGAGTAAAGTGGGGAAAAAATTCAGAACAACATAATAACTCTCCTTGATTATCTTGAATGGTAGAATAATGTCAGAGAAAATTGATGGATGATTGCTGGTGATGCTACTACAGTATTCTGATATCCTTCATCTGTTGAATTCTGTGAAGGATACACTGGGGGAAGCTCACAAGCCTCCTACACTTATAAAATGATGAGACATTCCTGCCTCATGTTTATTCAATCATCTTTACCTTTCTACATAGAGATAGCTCTTGCTTACTACTTGTTCAGCAACTTTTCAAAGTTACGACAGCACTTCAATGAATGAGGGGTACTTACAACAAATCCTCAAGGTTCTGACTGCTGCAGCACCCATGTGATCATAATTGGGCTGCTTGGCAAAAAGCTTGAACTTATCTTGGTTACAGCATCCTACGGTCATATGGTCACCATCTATGCCACTTTCCCATAAGCAAAGTCAGTTGGGAAGCCGGCAGGGAAACTCACAAGTTGCTCTGTGAGTCCTACCTCCTACCTTCCAGAGCACCACATCACACATTCTTTTTCTGGGCTTCGCTGCACTCACACACATCCCCTCCCCTATATATATTCCTTGTACTGTCTTAGGTAATTTCCTATATTGAAGAATATAGGAAACAAACATTTACACATCCAATTTATTTTCTGTAGAAATACCTGTCTTATACATTTTCAAAAGTTAATTTCAAAATCATACTGAAAGTTTTAACTTTTTATATACCAGGTTCATAAGCTATTTTTATTTACAAACGCACCAGTTTAAAATTTTTTAGCTGGAGCCTCCTCTAGATGACAGAAAGAAAAACTATTTATTTATTTATTTTTATTTTATTTATTTATTTGATTTGCCAATTGTTTACAAGATAATAAGTATAAGTATAACTAAATGAATAACCCCCTTCCTCCTCAAATTTCTTAAAAGGAATGCCAGTCTGGTCTAATGGTGAAGGTACCAGGTCAGAAACTGGATGACCGTCACTTCTTGTCCTGTTTTAGTTATGGAAATCAACTAGTAACTTTGGGCCAGCCATTTTCTCTAAGCCCAACTCACCTCACAAGATGAGGTTGTGGAGAAAATAGCAGGAAAGAGAAATATTACCTATGTTCACTACCTTAAGTTATTCACAAAAACAATAAAAGGCAGGATTTTAAAAAAAATGTTTTTCATTCATCAAACTTTCCTGGCTCCTACACTACTACTTTTTAAACTCTAGAGGTTTCATAGCTATGAACACATCTGGGATTCAAATAATTTTCATATAAATTGCTGAAGAAATTTTGACAAGGGGAATGGTGAAAAGATCTACTTGCCCCTTCTATATAGTTGAAGATGCCTTTTTCATAAAATCCTTCTGAAAAAAATTCTTATTTCTTAGTTCCAATTTCCATGTTGTATGTTGTTTGATCAAATATTGGAAATCTAAAAGGGGGAATTTCCTCAGATAGGAAACACTACTCTGACACAAAAGAAACCAACCAAGAACTTATTAATATGAAATATTTGAACCTACTGACATAAAATTAGGAAAGAATTCATATGTCATCAAATTCTTCCAAGAAATAAACATTCCTTTAGTTAGGAAAAGCTTTGAAAAACTTGCACTGACTAGAAAGGTTTTATTTTTTAAAAAGAATCCTTAAAATTACAGCACTAGATATTCTTTTTTTTAAAGTAGAATTTCCCTAATACTCTTTTTAGAGCTGGAAAAATATTTTATTAAAATAATGACAAAAAAGATAGTTTTTAAAAAAGAGCTTACTATAAAGGTGTTAGTAACTTTATGTCATTGTTTTGAGAATGTTGGAAGTTAATGTTTTTCCTGTGCATATTAAGTATTCTGCGAGATATGAAGGCTGAATTGTCAGTTTGCATAATACATATTGGAACTCTAGTCCATTAACTCCTATTTCTGACATTACTGGGGAAAGGGTATACACAACTGATGTAGATAGGAATCCTCTCCTAGCAAATGTCATAATAATTAATTATTAATGTAATTGTTACCTTAGCTCTTTGATTCTGGAACCAGACTTGTACAACTCGGACACTAAGACCTGTCTCAGCTGCTAATGTTTCTCTTACCTTTAGGAAATGCAAAACATGTAATTATATTCAGTATCATGAGACAAATGATCAGCAAAATGTAAAATATGTCTGTTTACATAACATTTTTAGCTTTCAACCTGTCCCAGTATTTCAAAATTTCCAAATACATTGCAAGGTCTCTCAAAATATGAATGGCAAGAATGTTTTATAAACCTGTGCTCATTTTAAGTTAAAAAAATAAATTTAAAAGTTCCATAATGCCTTAACTTTTCTTTCTAAATGAGGTGTCTGACTACAGCAGTTCTATTTGATTGGTAACCCATTACTACAGCTCTCTGGCCATCTAGGTGATTTTTAGGGGCTCTGAAAAACACACTGCTCAAAAAAATAAAGGGAACACTTAAAATAACACAATGTAACTCCAAGTCAATCACACTTCTGTGAAATCAAACTGTCCACTTAGGTAGCAACACTGATTGACAATCAATTTCACACGCTGTTGTGCAAATGGAATAGACAACAGTTGGAAAGCATAGGCAGTTAGCAAGACATCCCTTCTCTTTTCTGCAGGTGGAGACCACAGACCACTTCTCAGTTCCTATGCTTTCTGGCTGATGGTTTGGTCACTTTTGAATGCTGGCGGTGCTTTCACTCTAGTGGTAGCATGAGACGGAGTCTACAACCCACACAAGTGGCTCAGGTAGTGCAGTTCATCCAGGATGGCATATCAATGCGAGCTGTGGCAAGAAGGTTTGCTGTGTCTGTCAGCGTAATGTCCAAAGCATGGAGGCACTACCAGGAGACAGGCCAGTACATCAGGAGACGTGGAGGAGGCCGTAGGAGGGCAACAACCCAGCATCAGGACCGCTACCTCCGCCTTTGTACAAGGAAGGACAGGAGGAGCACTGCCAGAGCACTGCAAAATGACCTCCAACAGGCCACAAATGTGCATGTGGCTGCTCAAACGGTCAGAAACAGACTCCATGAGGGTGGTATGAAGGCCCGACGTCCACAGGTGGGGGTTGTACTTACAGCCCAACACCATGCATGACGTTTGGCATTTGCCAGAGAACACCAAGATTGGCAAATTCGCCACTGGTGCCCTGTGCTCTTCACAGATGAAAGCAGGTTCACACTGAGCACATGTGACAGGGTCTGGAGACGCCGTGGAGAACGTTCTGCTGCCTGCAACATCCTCCAGCATGACTGGTTTGGCAGTGAGTCAGTAATGGTGTTGAGTGGCATTTCTTTAGGGGGCCACACAGCCCTCCATGTGCTCGCCAGAGGTAGCCTGATTGCCATTAGGTACCGAGATGAGATCCTCAGACCCCTTGTGAGACCATATGCTGGTGCGGTTGGCCCTGGGTTCCTCCTAATGCACGACAATGCTAGACCTCATGTGGCTGGAGTGTGTCAGAAGTTCCTGCAAGACGAAGGCATTGATGCTATGGACTGGCCCGCCCGTTCCCCAGACCTGAATCCAATTGAGCACATCTGGGACATCATGTCTTTCTCCAGCCACCACAGACTGTCCAGGAGTTGGGGGATGCTTTAGTCCAGGTGTGGGAGGAGATCCCTCAGGATATCATCCGCCACCTCATCAGGAGCATGCCCAGGCATTGTAGGGAGGTCATACAGGCACATGGAGGCCACACACACTACTGAGCCTCATTTTGACTTGTTTTAAGGACATTACATCAAAGTTGGATCAGCCTGTAGTGTTTTTTTCCACTTTAATTTTGAGTGTAACTCCAAATCCAGACCTCCATGGGTTGCTAAATTTGATTTCCATTGATAATTTTTGTGTGATTTTGTTGTCAGCATATTCAACTATGTAATGAACAAAGTATTTAATAAGAATATTTCATTCATTCAGATCTAGGATGTCTTATTTTTGTGTTCCCTTTATTTTTTTGAGCAGTGTATATATTATTACCTGCAAAGTAACTGCCCTCTACACTCTAGAAAAACATACACGATGACAAATGGATCCCATTATGATTAGTGGATCAGCATCTGCCCGAAACAAAATAAGTGTTCCTGATTTTTTTTTCTAGAGAGTCATGGGCGAATGGGATTGAATGTCACTGTTTGGCATGAGAGTACTTGAAGTTTTTAATGACTCTTAATATTTGTGATTTGTCTTGGAGTTTGGTTTTCTTCAAGTCAACATTGAAAGTTTTGGAACAGTGATTGACCCTAATTTCCAACAGGAAAGATGAAGCCCAGTTCATTGTGGTGCTGGAAACTTACACAAAATTCTGCTACAATTGACTAGGATAAGTCATGCTGGAAGGGAAGCAGAAACTCTTTATGATATTATGGTGAAGAGATAAGGGTGCTGAATTGGTTGGGGGTAAAAGTGTCAGACTTGTCTAAACATTGCAGTTCCCTGAGTTTAGGCCTCTTAAATACACCTAATGGTTTCTGCCCACAGGTTCCATGCCGGACAACATTTTCCATTTGCCTGCTTGCAGAGCTTCCCTGCTGGACTGCTCATGTGATTCATGACTAAGATCTTTGACTAGTTTGGTATTGATTTACTGTAGTATTATTCCAGCAGCTGATACTGATGGAATTAGGGTCTAGAAAAGGTGTTAGAGATGTGTATGATAATAGTAAGAATGTATGGGCATTTTTTCTAAGAATCTGTCTTTCCTGTGTCTGATGAACACAGAAGCAGTGTAGGAGCCTGCTATGACTGATGATGGGATCAGGGTGACTGTGAGTTGTTGAGGATGTTTCAAGTTGTGTGGTCCCAGAAATTGGGGGGGAGGGAAGGGATGGGGGAGAGGTGACAGAGGGAATAGGGCAGACAGTTCCATCTAAGTGGTGATCAGCAGAGAGAGATATAAGAGGAGCTGGGAGTAGACTACACACGGGGAAAACAGAGTCAATATTTAATATTGATGTCACCTTCTAGTTCCTAAAAGTGCTTTTTCAAAATAGCAACTGGACTGATTTTTCATTCAGGAAGGAGAAGATGTTTCATTCTTCTTCTTCGAAGCTTTATCAATTATGATGGTGGGGAGACAGAAGGATAGATTCTGACGGGGTGGTGCAGGGGGGTGGAAGTATTGTATTTCTTTGTAGTCATCTGGTCATTAGCATTCTCTCTGAGAATTTGAGGCCATTTGAGAGTTTATTTGTTTATTTAGTGTATGGCACGTGTTAGCCAGGGATCACTGAGGCGGCTGGCCGCCTCTGTGAAAGGAATTTTTCGGGTGGTGTTATCTTTACCTGAGGGACACCTGAATGCTGTTGTCCCTCCACAGTTTATTCACTCATGGGAATTGAACTGCCGGTGCACAAAAGTAAGTTTAAGGCTCCAGTCACCACCGCTTCGGCCTGCCTGCACCACCCCACTTTGCTGTGAGTGACATCAAGTTGGCCATGCCCACTCAGCCACATGACACACACACCCCAGCCGTGCTCACATAGTCTTTAGGATGAACTGATTGTTAAATTAGTTGGAGCCCACACTGGGATCACCTGAATCAGAGTGATTTGATGGAAGGCCCAGTTAGAAACATTTGCTATGAGACAGCACATTAGGCAACAGAACTAACCTCAGCCCAGATCATATGTGTCATGTTAGATCTCTGCCTAACCACTACCTATTTTAAATACAATTAAGGTTTCTACAGACAAAAACATGGCCGAACTATGATTCACCTGTGTTCCCATTGTGGCCAATCTCTACAAAGAAAAGGTAAAAAACCAAAGTCCTAAAATCCTTCACAGGATTTCCACTCACTCACTGGTATACTATATCAGTGTTATAGGTATATGGGCCATACTTAGGTCAACACAGGAAGTGGAAGCCTTCACAAAACATATCAACTCTGTGGACATATAATTAAGTTCAATCGGAAGATGTTAAAGAAAACAATCTTGCTTTCCTGGACTGTGCAATGCACATTAAAGAAAATAGAAGCGTTAATGTTGAAATTTACAGAAAATCTACACACAGATCAGTATTTACATTTTGATTCTCACCACCCACAGGAGCACAAAATGGGAGTGATCTGAACCCTACACCATTGGGTTGAAAGTTTGCCCACCAGTTAGAGGGAAAAGAAAAAGAACTGAAACACATCAAGGAATCCTGACTGGACCTTCCTCAAATCCAAAAAAAGAAGAAGACCCAACAGGAACTCCTCCATTACAGACAAAGAAGAGAACAACAAATCAAGCAACATTGTCATTACATATGTTGCAGGAATATCTGAAAAGCTCAGGAAGATTTTCAACCAAAACAACATACCTGTACAGTTTAAACCCAAGAACACACTAAGACAGAAACTCATTGACCCCAAGGATAAAACACCCAGACACAAATTGAGCAATGTGATATATGCAATGCAATGCAGTGAGACATGTGCAGATCTGTTCATTGGTGAAACAAAACAACCACTTCACAAGTGCATGGCACAATATCAAGAAAAGATTCAGCAGTCCATCTGCATTTGAAAGACAAAGGTCACTCTTTTGAGGACAACAAAGTCCACATTTTGGATAGAGAAGATCACTGCTTTGAAAGAGGGGTAAAAGAGTCCATCTATGTTAAAACTGAACAGCCCTCTCTCAACAGAGATGGAGGAATGCAACACCACCTATCTCTAGCCTACAATCCAGTTCTTTCAACAGTTCCAAGAATATTTCATAATCATTTGCACTCTGATTCAGGTGACCCTGAGGGCACAGATAAATGAACTCCAAGTGGCCTCAATGGCTCTCAAAGAGAGTACTAACGACCAGATGACTGCAAAGAAATACAATCCTTCCATCTCCACACCATCCAGTCTCAACTGTCAGTATCTATCCCTTCATTTCCCCACCATTATAACTGATGAAGCTTCTTGGATGACAAGAAAAAAATGTATTCTTCCTCCTCAAGGAAAAAACAATCCAGTTGTCTTTTTGAAAAAGCACCTTTGAGACAACTATGTTGCCAGGTCATTAGATCCACAGTGGTCCTGTTAAATGCCAGGTTGCTGTTAAATGCCAGGTTTTCTGGTATGTCGGCGACTACCAGAAATATGTACCAATAATGATTTTTGGCCAGTGACAAAGCCAGGAAGGTAGCTTCATTCTGGCATTTTAAAGTTGACCTAGACACAGAAGAAGAGACTCCTAAGGAGGTAGAGAGATTCTTTGAGACTGTCAGTAAGACCACGTGTTTATTAAATCCATTTCCCTCCTGCTTAGTTAAGACCTCCCAGAAGGCGATGGATCCATCATTCTTGGAAGAGAGATGGTTTAATCTCCTTGAAGACAGTGGTGCATCCCCTCCTCAAGAAGCCATCATTGGATCTATTTTAATTTACTCTCCAATCTTTCTAGGTAATGTTGAGGAAAAGGCAGACAGGCTCCAGCTCCGGATGATTGTTAAAGAATTAGTTTTTCTACTTCAATGACTTCTTATGGAGCCAAGACAGAAGCATTGTATTAGATTTAATTGCATGTTGCGCAGAATCTGCGCTGAATGGGTATTAGAAATATAAACAAATATTGTCTTTGGATCACAATATGCATGTTATGAAAACATCAATCTCTATAAGTATCTTGGGATACAAAGACCTTAGTTAATAAAAACTGCCAACCATAATAGATCCTAGGATTCCAATGTCTTCTAATTATTAAAACATACCTTCCTACATGGCTTAGAAGATACTTCAAATGATGCTTTAAATGCTCGGCGTTGCTGTGTGGTTAGGATTGTCCGGGGCCGCTTGGGCCGTTTATGATCCCTGATCTCCTCAGATGCTTTCCCAGTCTCTTCCATTTTGCAGAAGCTTGCTTCAACATCACTTTTACCTTATAAAATGAAAACAACCCATTGCAATAAAATTCACAAATAGTTATAATTAAAATCTTTAGCTTGAAAATGTTGCACAAAAACTTTAATAAATGAACACAGATGTAATTTGGGAAGGTCCTTTCAATAAAGTGTTATGCAGTACATTTCGTGTGTATATATTGGTATGCACCCGCCTCACATGATTGTTGTTATCAGGACAACAAGAGGAGGAAAGCATATAAAGTATGTTTACCACCTTATAAATAACTTTGCATTATGACTGTTGTCTACATTCAGAGAATATAGTTTTAAACAAATACATGACACATTCAAATTTTAATTCCAACTTGCAATCTTAACTGAGTATATTGCATTGTTAATATCACTTTAAGTCGATGTAGACAAAGTTTCCATGGAATCAAAACTACCATTGTAAAAATGACAGAATATATGAAAGCATTGACATAGCAATAGCACTTAGACTTATATCCTGCTTCACAGTATTTCCCAGCCCTCTCTAAGCAGTTTACAGGGTCAGCATATTGTCCCCAACAATCTGGGTCCTCATTTTTACTGACCTCAAAAGAATGGAAGGCTGAGTCAACCTTGAGCCTAGTGAGATTCGATCTGCCAAACTGCTGGCAGCCGGTGATCAACAGAAGTAGCCTGCAGTACTGCACTGTAACCACTGCGCCACCACAGCTCATTAGATAATGAGATTATTGTTCTAATTTAAAAAATAGCTTTTTAAAATGTATTTTTAGACATTTAACTTGTTTTGAATGCAAAACAAAGAACAACATGAGGCAACTGGAAGTAAAAGGAATTAGTGGTTTTTCTTCTTCCAATTCTTGATCTTGAAGAATTTACATGATAGCCCTGCCAGGAATAGCTGGATATACTGCATTTGGTAAATGAAGGTAAATGAGAATTTAAAATTAAGTTGCATACTAGGGTTAGTGGCTCTTCTAATTTGAATTTAGAATGTGGAAACTTTTTAAAAAATGAATTGCAATGAAATTCCTTTTAAAAACCCCAATGCAAGGCAGGGATAATTTTTTGAAGCAAGTGGCTGTAGGTAGGAAGTTTATCCTGGCCTATTTGCATACAGCTATCTCATTTAGGGCCATTTACTTTTTTAAACTCTTACCCTTTTAAACTCTTACAAACTATTTGCAAGTTTGTAAATGTGTTTTGGGGCTTATCCTGGATGTATAGCTGTTTTATACAATTACAATTGGTACAGTGGTGGGATTCATATTTTTTACTACTGGTTCTGTGGCGTGCCTTGGTGGGCATGGCAGGGGAAGGATACTGTAAAATCTCCAGTCAGAGGTGGTATTTGCCAGTTCTCCGAACTACTCAAAATTTCCGCTACCGGTTCTCCAGAACTGGTCAGAACCTGCTGAATACCACCTCTGAATTGGTACCAGATTTTAAAATAGATCAAATAAGCACTTATCCTCATTATTAAAAAAAAAGCCCCCCCTTTTATTCCTGCTGTATTTCCTTTGTCTAAACTTGTTATCCCGCAGCTGTGCTGATTTGGAATTCCCACCACTCCCAAGAAGCCTAGAGGATTGTTGAGAGCTGGAAAATGGAAGATTGAGGAAGCTCAACTAAGAGAGCCAGACAGAGTGTAAAATATTTCCCACCTCTGACTGCATTTGAAACATGAAACAGAGAAAGTTCAAAATGACCGACTGGAAAAATGATGCTGAGAGAATCCTGTCCAAAGAAAGAAACGTAGCTTCAACATCCCCAAACACCTGCTTTCCAAATCCCCCCAAATGATGGAAAGTTGATTCTGCTTTAACATAGGCAATGTTTTTAATTAACTCTGTCTTTCAAACCCTCCACAGAAAGGGTAGGAATTAATTAATCTTTAAAACTCCTCCTTATGTCACATGGGAAAGGACAACAGGTGGTGTATATTGACCTCAAGACTCAATAGGGGAAAGCAATGAAATACTGGATTCATGAAAAAGATGAAAAAATTCTTTAGTTTGAGGGAATTAGGGGAAGGAGAGATGTTAGTGCACTTTTAATTGGAAAGAAGGCGCTTCTTTCACAGGTCTCTGTTTACTTAGTCTTGGCCACTGAGAGTCAGAGGAGGGAATCATTGAACAAGGGGCTTTACAGATTATGGACAACATATGGCTTCCAGTATTTTGTGCTTTATCTTCATTTTCTCTCAAAGATGGTCCTGAGTTTTCATTCTGCTACTTGATCCCTTGGGTTTCTAAATGGGATTGTAAAGAAAGATACTGACCAAGCAGGAATCTGATGTCATATCATAGCCTGGGGAAACTGACTAAAAGTCCTGGAGAAGATCTGTTCTTGCTTGCAGATATGTGCGTTCCTACTTTGTTTTGAGTTATAGTCTACTTCTGCTGCAAAGCTAAATGTGTTTGCAACAGAGTGTGCAACAAATTAAGACAACCCTTGGAGATGCTGGGCTTCAAACAGGAATCTGGAAAACTCCAAGAGGCTTTGGGCTTTCCATTTAGAACCCTAGTGCTTTAGGATTTGTTAAATTATATGTAAACAGTTCCAAAATCAAGTGAGGTATTTTTAAGTAAAGAATACCAAATTGGCAAAGATGACATACATTGAAACAAAGATACTGCACAAATTGAAACCAAAATTATATACAGTGGGTTGATCTTCCACAAGGATGAGGGAATTCCCAGTGAAATTGGGAATGATGGAGATCAATGGTTGTTTATATTATAATAATATTGTTTCTGATCACAAGCACAAAGATGAGACTCTCTACTCAATTATTGTGAAAACTTTTTTTTATTTGCATTGTTACTGCTGAAGTAGCATAATTAAATCTGGATGGATTTTATATAAAATGGCAAAGTAATGGATAAGACAGTGGTATCATTAAGAAAATCTTTTACCTAATATGAAACAGCAATATTAATACTGGCCCTAAAGATCAATGCAGTGGTAAGGTGTTAAGAGTGAACATCTTCATTCTAACAAGTAGGATGCAACTCTTGTTCAGAGTTGGCAAGAGATGGCTTGGTACAGTTGTATACAAGGTTTTAAAGTAATTTTTACAAACCTGGCTACTAGCAACTGAAAGAGTCTCAGGCAGCACTGGGAAAAAGTCATTGTTTCTTCATTAAATGTTTTTTTTTTAATTTTTAAGCTATCCTATTACTTTATTTTGATAACCAGAAAACTACATATTTGCCAGAAGATGGCAGCATTTTGCTGATTCTGCTTTAGATGGGACTATTTTCAAATAATGCATTCCTCTTAAAACTGGCATTTCCAAAGTAAGCAATAAAACACAACTCATCTAAAAACGGAAATCCATATCTACACTTTCTTTAAAATGATTCTAGTTTTCCTGAAAAGCTTATGTTTGACTACAAGACCCAGTTTTTACTTTGCAGCTCCCCTTCACCTCTTAAGATCTTAAACCAGAGCCAGAACTCTAACATAGGGGTGAAGTAGGAAACTCAAAAGGATCACAGGCAGTAATAGGAGATGAAGATAATGTGCGTGGCCAGCCTCTGGCATCAAGTCCAATAGCTAATAACATCTGAAAAGGAAAGCAGTTCTAAATCAGATTCTTCTTTCATGGGATTGGAATACTTTACAAAAACATCTCAAGCATTTCCAAAGTTACTTGCAAATATGTCAATATGGAATTAATAGTGAGGTAATGGGGTGATATTTCCAGACTCAGAAGACTTTTCCTTCCTTCCTTCTGTGCAACATAGAAAATAATCAGTTACCCAGAGGAAAAAGGGCATAATTATTCAGATAAATACTCATCAACAAAGTACCTGATTAGTCCAAGAATCTAAAGAACAATTTATAAGACTAAACTTCCTTTTTCCTTTGGCTCATTGTTTTTTGCTCTTGAGGTTTGTGTCTATTTATAAGATTTATGCCCTAGAGACAAGCAAAGTTATAATCAGAAGCCAGCACGAGTTTGTCAAAAATGGACCATGCCAAACAAATCTTATTATATTTTTTGACAAAGTAACTAAATTAGTGAACCAGAGAAATGCTGTGGACTTCACTAAGTCATTTGGTAAAATAAACCATAAGCTACTACTTGGTAAGACAGAAAAATGTGGGTTAGATAGCATCACCACCAGATAGATTCATAACTGGCTGACCAACCACACTCAATGTGTAGTACTTACACAAACTATATCTATATGGAGGGACTGATACAGTGGAGTACCTCAAGGTTCTGTCTTAGGCCCAGTATACTTCAACATCTTCATAAACAATTTAGATGAGGGGATAAAAGGGAAACTCATCAAATTGCAGACAACACTAAGCTAGGAGGAGTAGCCAATACTCCAGACAATAGGCTCAAGATCCAGAAGGATCTCAACAGACTTGAACAATGCTCCTGACAAAATAAGTGGTTCTGCCTTACCAGAATCCGATGGGGCTGGACTTCCAATGCTGAGCCTTTCATGTTCCTTCTCATAGTCATTCCTGCACAGCAGTTGGCCATCCTTAAGGACAAATTCATCTCCCTTCTGAAGCTGTTTCTCACAGACACAACAGCAGAAGCAGCCTATATGGTACACACTTTTCTGAGCTCGCATAACAAACTCACTGGGTGTAATTGCTTCCAAACAGTTGTTGCACTTCACTGCAAAAATCCTGTCACAAAGAAAGTCAAAAACAGATAGGTCAGAACTGTGCCTAGATTATGTTGATCACTTAGGTAATCAGTTGGGATCCTGGGCTTGATGGCTTCCCATCTTCAAAAAAGGAAAAAAAACAGACCCAGGAAACTATAGACCAAGCAGCCTAACATCAATACCCGGGAAGATACTGGAAAAGATAATAAAAAAACAGATCTGCCAACATCTAGAAACAAATAAAGTAATAACTAGCATTCAGCACTGGTTTGTTAAGAACAGATCATGCCAAACCAATCTTATTTCATTCTTCAACATAATGACTAAATTAGTAGACCAGGAAAATACTGTGGACATAATATATTTAGATTTCAGCAAGGCATTCGACAAAATAGACCACAACCTACTTCTTAGTCAGCTAGAAAAAAGTGGAATAGATAGCACCACCACTAGATGGACTCGCAACTTTCTAAGTTAACTTTCTAAGCAGTTCGGAGAACCAGTTGTTGGAAGAAATCTCCTTTTTTTCCACTTTACAGGGCTAATCCTGTAAGGCAGGAAGGAAACATTCTGGTGTTGTTGCTTACAGAAATTGCCCCTCCGTTAACCCTTATTACATTCTTGCCAGTACACCTAGACTTCCTGTCTCCAGAGCTTCTGGGCTTGACTTTCTTAAAGGGGAAGGGTTGTTTTAAGCTTTTTACACACTGCTGTTGGGAGGAAATACTCCCCTGGACAATCAGCACTTTGAAAAAAATAATTGAATAATGAAGCAGAGCTGCCAGAAAAAAGCTTTTAATGACAAGGAACCAAGATGAGTGACATTCAGCAAGGCTTCTTGGCTAGTTAGAAAGATTAACATTCAAATGTGAGTTTACATACCTTTTCTGAGTTTTGGTCTAAAACTGGTTTTTAGTGAAGTTTAATTCTGTGCTTGGTGATGTTTCTGTGCTTGGTGACGCTACTCTGTGATTTAATTATTTGTATTGTGTTTGAATTTTTTCCTGCCTCATGGTTTCTTTTTTTTATCTGGGGAAGGGGTCTTCCTTCACTGCTTTAGTAGTATCTGGCACTATCCTTTTGGGGAGTACTTCCAAGAGGCAGGATGCAAGCTTGGCACTGATCCTTTTACTGCCTTTCTTGGGGGCATGTGATCTTTCTTTAAATCTGATTTCCTTAGGATATCTTTTGAGGTGAGTGAGACCAGCTTTAAGTGGTGCAAATAAATCTAAGGATTGCTTCTCCTGGACGTGCTCTTTCTGGAGAGCTTAAATGACCTCTCTGCTAAAGGATTTCACTTTATGAGCAAGAATTGACTGCTAATAGTTATCATTGTATTTTAACTATTTTAATTCCTCAAGGTGCTCTGGCACCCTGCCTGATTTGTAACTCCGGTTTGCAGGTATTTTTAATTTAATGATTATTTAGGGCAGCTTTTTGCAAGCAAAGAAGCTTTTTGTGTTTTTGTACAGGTAATCCTTGACTTACAACAGTTCATTTAGTGACCATTCGATGTTACAATGGCACTGAAAAAAGTGACTTATGAGCTTTTTCACACTTATAACCATTGCAGCATCCCCACAGTCATGAGAAACCAAGCAAGGAGAAGCACCCCTCGATGTGAGTGATGTCGAGTTGGCCACACCCACCCAGTCATATGACCAAGCCATACCCACCCAGTCACATGACCACCAAGCCATGCCCACCAGTCTGTTTGCCACTGTTCTTGGTACTAAACAATTGGCGATGAGGATGGGATTCATCTCAGACTGAGGCATTTTGGCACGAACAAGTCACTGAAACACAAGAGCTGTCACTATCCAAGCTGAACTCATAGGTGACAAGAGTTCATGTTTAGAAACATCCTTAGACACAGCTGTCTGAGGTATTCTCCGCTCGAAGAGAATGGCTGCGTTACCCATTTTTGCTGCATTCAGCCCAGCTACTGAGGCATGGGACACGTACATTGACAAGTTCGAGTGTTTTTTGCTAGCAAATGACTATGCTAACATCTCTAATGATAGAAAAAAGGCATATTTTTTAACCTCTTGCAGAACAGAGGTGTTTGAGACTGCCAGGAACCTGTTAGCACCTCAAAAGATTCATGCTGCTTCATGGGAGGTCTTAATGACCAAATTAGGGAGCCATTATTCCCCAATGCCATTGTGTATTGCTCGCCGGCACGCATTTTATCACAGAAACCAGAAAGAAGGTGAGTCTATTAATCAATTTATGTCGGCACTAAGAACTGCTGCCCTCTATTGCGAATTTATTAACCTTGATGATGCCTCACTGGATAGATTAGTCTGTGGGTTAAGAGACCTCCACCTACAGTGCCACTTACTGGCCAAGATGGAATTAACTTTACAAATAGCTTTAGATGAAGCTCACGCTTCAGAACTGTCAAACAAATCCAAAACTGAGATTTAACAGGCTAGTAGCTCAGCCGCTGCTATCAAGCCTGAATCAATTCACTATGAAGATGTAGACACTGAGAACAAATTGGACAAAGACATCCATCACCTCAAGTCACAGACTGAGAAATCCTTCACTAACGACAAAACAACAACCGTTTGTAGTGTACCGGCTGTGGTGGGAACATCTGATATCAGCCTGCAAATTCAAGAACACCTCCTGCCTGCGATACAGAAAGAAGGGTCATCTAGCCAGAGTATGTACGGCTGCTCAACTAGCAAACATTCCTTCAGCAAAGACGTAAAAAGACCCCAATACAAACCTACTAAAAGGGAGGAAGATTGTTTTACCATAAGAAAAGGTAGATACCCAGCCGAATCTGCCATTGGCAGATGATTGGGAAAAAGAAAATTTACCTCACATTAGATTAGAAGGGCCCCCTTGCAAAATGGAGCTAGACAGAGTCAGCTATGTCCCTAATGTCCTGGAGCATCCTCAAACAACTAGTGCCAAAGCTATCTAAGAAAAAGCTTAAGCCCTGTCACCTTAAGCTCAGGGACCTTACCAAGGAAGGAGCATTCCCACCCTTGGTACTGGCAATTTCCAGGGCACTTATAAAAAAATTCACTGGGTGACTTCCTCTTATAATAGTTAATGGATCTCGCCCCAGCTTAATTGGACTTGATTGGTTCGACTCCCTAGGATTGGCCATCTCTGGCATCAACTCCGTCAGCGAGTCAGACATGTCATCTTTAATCACTGAATTTGCCACCATATTCGAAGATGGCCTGGCTAAGTACACTGGCACCCCTTTGTCATTAAACTTAGACCCCCCCTAGGTCGCACCTGTCCATTTAAAACCATGACAGGTGCCCTTCACCTTCAGGGCAAAGGTAGATGCTGAGTTAGACAAGCTTTTGGCACAGGGAATTCTAGAGGCTGTCAACCACACCTATAGTCACCCCAACAAAAGCAGATGGGTCCATTAGAATTTGTGCTGATTATAAATGCACCCTGAATCGGGCCCTTCAACATAGCACCCCATGCCAGTTGTACAGCACTTACTGCACTCGTTAGGAAATGGCAAGGTTTTTGCCAAACTAGATTTAGTGCAGGCATATCAGCAGATCCCTGTAGACAACCAAGCCGCTGAGACGCAAACAATTGTGACTCACAGAGGGGCCTTTAAGTGTCATCATTTTCAATTCGGCATTAGTGTGGCCCCAGGAATTTTCCAAAGTTTGATGGAAAGAATGCTCTAAGGCATACCTGGTGTCATCCCATATTTTGACAACATCCTGGTATCAGCAACCAACCTTACTGAACTAAAGGAATGCTTAAGAGCTGTGTTTCTAAGGTTTAAGAAAGCTGTATTTAGGTTAAAAAGAGAAAAGTGCCAGTTAGCTGTCCCGAAAGTTGAATTCCTCGGGTACCTGATAGACTCATTTGGGCTTCACCCGATGTCCACCAAAATACAGGCTATCCAGAATGCTTCCATTCTCAAAAACAAGACTGAGTTACAAATATTCCTTTGACTCTTAAATTTCTATAGTATCTTCCTACCCCATGAAGCATTGGTCGCTGAACCATTGCACAGACTTTTGGAGTCTAAAACTCCATGGGGCTGGGGTAAAAGAGAGAGCTGTGTTCAAAGCTGTTAAAAGCCTCCTGACGTCACAAAGTGTGCTACTCCAATACAACAAAAATATGCCTTTAGGACTGACCTACGATGCATCCCCATTTGGAGTTGGCGCAGTGCTCAGCCACAAATTGCCAAATGGGTTTGAAGCACCTATAGCATTTTTTTCAAGGACCTTCTCAAAGGCTGAAAGGAACTATAGTCAAGTCGATAAGGAGGCCCTGGCAGCTGTGGCCGGCATTGAAAGATTTCACAAGTATTTGTATGGTCAAACCTTTCAGCTGGTCACAGACCATAAGCCACTGCTGGGCTTACTTTCAGGTGGCTGGCAGATGCCCCAAGTGCTCTCTCCTATGTTGACCAGGTGGACTATTTTTCTAGCTGCCTATGATTATTCCTTAACCTATCGACCCAGAAAAAACCTCAGCCACGCTGACACTTTAAGCCACTGCCCATTACAGATTCCCATTGAAGATCCAGCCCCGGCCTACACAATCCTCCACATTGACAACTTTCAGTGCCCAATGACTGCCTCTGATGTCACAAGACATTCAGCTAAGGACCAGGTAGTTGCCCTGGTGATGGACTGGGTTAAAAGGGGATAGCCGCAGGAGTCTGTGGGGGGAGAAAACAAGGCAAAAAAAGCTATCCACTATGCTGGGTTGTTTACTGTGGGGAAGCAGGGTGGTTATTCTGTCCCCACTGAGGCAGCAGGTCCTGGAGGCCCTATACATAGGACACCCGGGCATTGTCCGGATAAAAGCACTAGGACGAAGCTAATTAGGGTGGCCTAATTTTGACCAATCACTGACTGGGTTTCAGGGTGCCAGGATTACCAAAAAACCAGCCCATAGCCCAGCCTCAGGAGTGGGAAAGACCCAGGGGCCCATGATCTCGAATTCATATAGATTTTGCTGGGCCAGTGCAGGGACAGATGTTTCGAATAGTGGTGGGTGTGTATTCTA